GGAATACCCATACAGTGATAAGTGTTCCATGTAATGCAGTCTTTGGCAACTGCCTAGAAACATGTGACAGGGAGGGCACAAACTCACACATACACACACACACACACACACACACACACACACAGAGAAGGAGCAGCGCTTTGGAAATAATCGATACATGTTCGTTAGCAACGACGACGATAGCGACGACAGCGCATCGGAATGTCATGCAGCGAAGGACAACGCAGGCGTGAAAGTGTTGCCAACGTAATACAAAGTGCCGCAAACTCACACACACACACACGCGTGCATGCAAACAGCTGTGATTACATGCATACATATATTTTAAAAAACTAAGGCTTTCAACTTGTTTTAAAAGAACTGCTGCTGCTAACTGTTGTGTTGCCAAGCGCGCACACACACAAACACACAAATCTTTACAGGAAGCTGACAACTCTGGCCTATATGCTCCTCATGCCATCTCGCTTGTGCTCACTGCAGCCGCCTTTAATTATGACGATTGCATTGCGACGCAAAACGGCGGTAATATTTTTACTGGGGATTTCCGGACAATTTCTGATTACAAACATATGTACCTATATGTATTTGATAAGTTTTCATAGCAACACGCACACACATACATGCATACCAGCTGGAATTTGACGGCGCAACTCTGATATTATTTGAAACTTTGTGAAGAGTAAATAACATGCACACACGCACACCCCTACCCTACCCTACCCTACCTACTGATTAGCTGTACTAATGCCTTTTAGCCACTGCATATGTGTGTGTGTGTGTGTGTGAGTGAGTGTATTGTCTTTTTCAATGTCACATTCAACGCAAACATTGCACTTTGCAACGACAGCGGGACGGCGACTGCGACTATAACAACAGCACATCACAAAGAATTTTTGCACAAATTTCATTTTATTTAATTTAAATTCCTTTGACCGCCCCGTTCAGCGACCAATGAGCGTACGCTTTATGGAAATGCCGCCGTCGCCACAGTGCAACGCAACGCAACAAAACGAGAGTAGCACCAGCAGCATTGGCAGCAGCACGCAACGCAGCTGCACAGCACAGTGGTGCAAGTTACATTTGCGTTGTGAACCATTTAAAGTCAAATGCCAACTAGAGGTGGAGAGCTATTGATGGCACCACCGGCACTATCCGCACATTCAAGACCTGCGTGTCAGCACGATCGACAAATAATTAATAAACAGCTTATATGCATTTTGACATTGAGAGCTTTATTTATAAAGAAAAAACTGCAATTTTTCTTACAACAATCGAAGTGTCTCAAAGCTATTAAAGCAAATTATTGTTTATTTAGTAAGATTGCAACTTGTACTATAAATATTATTCTTGAATGGGACACGTTGACAAGTTCCCAATTCTATGAGACATGAGAAAGAATTCCACACACATGTACAATAATAATAGTCAGTTTTTCTGATATTACGTTAATTCCAAATCTAACAATGCATATAATTTCGGTATTCTTTTTCGCTTCAAAATAATGTACACAATTGAGGGATTAGTGCGAAAACAAAAATAATGAAATAATTTTTAGATATACTTGTATGTACTTTCAAAAATGTAAATCTAATTTCAATTTCTTGTGCTTTTCTTGTGATGCAAAATGTGATTTGGGACAGTTTATTTCAATATAAATGCGAAACGTGATTATAAAATGACTCTGAGTGTGCAGAAACATTTTTGTTTAACACTTTTCTTCACTATATACAACAATTTGTTCATTTTATATTATCGTTTAGCTTCATCAAATGTTTATTAATTATGTAATTATTCAAAACAATTCATTCATCTTATTTGGCTTTATTTCCTACAATTAATTAACGATACGACATTTAAATATCAGTCAATAAATGCATAGTTATCTATATTAGAAAGACGTTTAATTCGAATTAGAATTGAATAGAATAATTAGAATTGTGAAAGCATAAGCCTTGAACCTATACCTTGAACTATACGTTTGTTTTAACTCGATCGTGTTTTTAACGGGCAAAAATTAAATAAATTTTTTTTTTTAATAAAAATTTTGAAATTAAATATGCTTATAATGCGACCAGAATGTCGAATTTTGTTATGCTTTGTAATCATCACCCAAACTATATAAATTACAAGGCTTTTTGAGATGTTTTTGCGCTTCAGTGATATATCTTTAATATCGTCTTCGATTTAAAACAAAATCTCTAAGAGAATGATTGCTTTGGATGTAGATAGCTTCTGAAATTGTCAACTTCAATGAAGCAGTTTTCAACATTTTGTGAGTTGCTCGTCTAAATAAGGCTTGTAATGGAATCTGGCCATCAATTGTGTAAGTTCTCAATCCAGAGTTCTGTTATTCGAAAGTGAATTCCTTACAGTACTTCTAAGACACTAGTTGCATGTGTGAATTGAAAATATAGCCTACGAACGAAAAGACAAAATGCTCTTTATTAGCGTTTTTAACATTTTGGCTACCTAAATTAGCTTAATAAAGCCATGACACAATTTTAATTCGTAAAACCTATCAGGGTCTTAAAGCATATGACTATAATAGTAAAGGATTTTTGCTTTTAGAACTTAAGACACCAAAAGATATATTGCGAACATCAGTAGTAAAGATTTCAATAACTGAGAAAACTTCAATATCCTAATCAGAATATCAATAATCCTAACCAAATTTCAAATAAATCACAGGCATCATTTTAGGAAATTAAAAAAAATGATTGGCCTGTGGCTCATCCGTAAATGCGATTTACTAATGTTCGCGAAATTGTGAACATTAAAAAACTCGGTTCGATCGAGTTGTTACATTTTGTTTAAAATTTGTTAGTTTTCTTTACAGATCTCGATCGCACAAATTATACTTTTAAGTGGAAAGCTTCCTTAACCATGCGAAGTATTTTGTTTTGTTTCATTTTTCAGACACTTTACGTCAACAATGCGATTTCTAGCCTTTTTTTCATATCACTGGAGCATAATCATATAATTCGTATAATGTCACGATTCTGGGATTTTTGAAACCCTTTTCCACATCTTAATCTTGCGGTCACACTCGAATAATGCCTATTTGCGTACATATTTTCATATTTATGTATGTATGTGATGTTGAAGGGTGCGAGCATTGGTATTTATTTTCACTACTCACTCACTTGGCTTTCAACCACTGTGCAGCGGCAGCACGACGACGGTGTAGGCGAGCAGGCAGGCACGCAAACAGAGGCAAGGCAAGGCGCGTTGCGACGCGGCAGAGAGCAGCGCAGCATTGCAGCTGGGCAGTGTTAATTGTTAATTAGATTTTTCTTTGCTATCTCGTTTGCATTTAGCGAATTTTTCTGCTGGACATTTTGTTGTTGTTGCCTTTTTTAAAAATATATTTTTACAACACTAGAAAAAAAATTGATTATTAAAAAAACACACGCACACCCTGGCACTGGCTCATACTCATACACACACACACACACACGCACACCCATAGAGAGACAGCGAGGCACGAACACGGACACAAACGAGCGATTATGGCACTTGTTCACCTCGTCAGGCGGCAGGCAGGCGCTTGTGTAACGCAATTTCATTTCTTTTTGGCATTATCAAAAAAAAGAAAAAAATAACACATTTTCAACACGCACACACATTTACCGATCGATCGCATGTGTGTGTGTTCGTGTGCTAGGGTGTATATTTAAAAAGAATGGTCGGTTTTAGCCATTCTGCGTGCATTTCCAACAAATAACAGAGAAAAAAAAACATTTCAAACACATTTTCTAGTAGACACAGCAACGAGAGCGAAAAACCGCACACATGCATATATATACATACATATACGTTTTTGCATGTGTGCGCTGCCGCTTATTTATTTAAATAAATAAATGTTAGATTTGGTGGTTTTCATTTATGCATGTATATAATTTTTCTTTCACCATTTCGTTCTTCTTTTCGACTGCTTTTTCACATATGTATGTATGTATTTCAATGCTTTCTTTTAGCTACGCTGTCACTGTCGCCGCCGCCGCCTCACGCACACATACATACAGAGAGAAGCTGCCACACGCATACAAATACATTCACACGTACGCATGCTTCCATACAAACGGCCACACTAAAAAAACACACACACACGTAGTTAGTGTGCTGCTGCTGCTGCTGCCGTTGCCTTTTTTCGTTTCGTCTTTTGCTACACCTTGCTTCCGCATATACTTTTTCGACGTCGTTGTCGTTAAAAAAAACTCTTTTGTACAGAAATTTATATATTTTTTTGTATTTATTTGCGGCACTTCTTCACAGAGTTTTCGCACAATTAACAATGCGATTGCACTTACAAGCACTTTTCATTTCCGTTTCGGATTTTTTGATGGGTTTTATGAAGTTTTTTCACACTGCTCGCAGCTTTGAGTTTTCTTTGCTTCTTTTTTCTTTGTACATTTCATTGCTTCGTTCTAATTACTCTTAACAGACGCGTGCGTCTCGCTGCTCACGCTGTACAGCACTTTGTATTGGCGTAAAATTGCAATAATAAATGACATTTGAATGGGTAAGATTATGTTTTTATCGACTACTTTTTTGCCATTTTAATATGGCGGCGGCTGTGTGTGTATTGTGCACAACAACCACAGCAGAGGTAACTACTTACACTTTCACTAAACGAAAAATAATATGCGCCGCGCGTGCGTCCACGTCCATTCGTGTATGAGAGGCAACTAAAAAACGAATGGAATGCCAAAGCAAACGAATGATAATGAAAAGAACATTGCCCGATAATTATTCGATTTGTAGGCGTATGCGTATATAGTACATAATTTTCCGATGGCACACTTTCGCGATGCTATGCAGCACTGCACACCCCTATGCAACACTGGCTTCATCCACAAACGGCCTTGCCAGACTGCCGCTGTCGTCTTTTAACTAACTCTTCAAGAACTTGTGTTTGCAGACGTTACATTTAAACTTAACCAAAAGAAACCGCGCAAAGAATTTTCAAACTTCTTTGTTTTAATTAATTTTCCCAAAAAACAAGTTTTTTTCTTTTTTAATATACACACACATAATAAATACAATAGATAAATATATAAGAATATTTTTATATTATATGGAATTATGTATGCCCTCACACCACTACTAATTTTGCAGTTTGTAACTTGAACCGTTACTTTAAGTATGTATATATATATATATAAATATGTATATATATGTAGTTAACAGATACATTATTCAACATATTGCCCTATAATTGGTTTAGCAAGTATCGTAAAACTTCTTCGATTATAAACATGTAATATGTAAATACAATAAAGACTGACCACAAATAAAAAAAGAATGAAAACAAAAGTGGAAACAAGAACAAAATAATACAGCATTTGGCTATTGATCGTTATACCCCGCTCACCCAAACTAAGTCACATTATTTGTATCTAATAGGGTATCTGGTTCTGATAGTACTGGATCATGTCATAGGTACGTGTACGGAAATTCTGATACGAGTTGCGGATAACGGCCAGCATGTGTGCGGCCGCCTCCTTGTTATTTTTAGTGGCAACGAAACGCTGCTTAAGTAAATTTATCGTCTGTCCACGGAAGCACGGCAGGCCCGTGTCCAGCATAAGCGAGACCAGAGATACAATGGCATCCTGGTAGGGGCGCACGGCCAGAAAGGCCTGAACGCACAGCTCACAGAACCATTTGAAGGCGGGCGCCTCCATTTTGCCGCCCATAATCATCACCATTTCGTCGGTTAGCTTCATATCCGGCTCGAAGCCGATGTTGCCGCCCGGCGACGACTCGAACATGAATCCGAAATCTGTAAAACAGGAATCAAACAGGAGTATGAGTTTAACAAACAGAACAATCCCGCATGCCGGCAGTCCCTTACCAATGTGTATGATGTGCCCATCCTTGTCAATCATGATATTGCCATTGTGTCGGTCCTTGATCTGGAGCAGATAGCCAATCAGCGAATAGGCGGCCATGCTCTTCACAAAGTTGGCGCGCGCTGCCTGAAACTCCTTGGAGCTCTCGTCCCCATATTGATGTTGGAAGTACTCGGATAGACCGGAATCTGTCTGCCTTCCCAGTTGATCGCGACTCTTGGCATTCGGCACGCACTCAATGACGCCGCACTGTAATGCAACACAAAAATGGAATATACATATGTATATGTAGAGCGCTAAGGTCCTGACAACCCTCCGCAAAACTTAAATAAACTACGAGTATGTATGTGGCACCAATCAACATAAAAGTTATTCTACTAAGTGAGTCATATAGTGCACCGATTTCCATAAAACTTTCGATTATTTAGATTTAGATATATATTTACTTAGTTGTCTTCCTTCACGAACACAAATGCTTTTTGCTAAGTGTGTGCGAACATAGCGCCGATCGAACCTATAGTAGCTCTATAAAATATTGAAGCCATATATGGTGTGTCTGCATCTGGATAAGTATACGTGTCCAGTTTGGTTTCCCTAATGACTTCAAAAGCTGGCAACAGAAAACCAAACGAAGGAACATGTCGATTCGCCTCATCTGATTATATATGTACACCTGATTCTGTTTTTACACGGTAGATTGGTTCCAGAAACAACCGTGTAAAAAAAGACATTGATCTTATGCAAAAATAGGTAATTGCTTCCTTATCTCTAAAGAAATGTATATGAAATTTTTAATTTTCAATCCGTGTTATATCAAAATCGTGTAAAAAAAGACCGTGTGAAAACAGAATTAGGCTGTGCCACGCCTCTCTCCGCCTATTACACGCACTACACGGCATGTTTGGACTTACTAGTAACACCCTTTGAATCTATAGAAGAGCATCCATTGCTTCAATACTTACGCCGGGAGCTGTAGCGACAACGCGATAGGGGAACAGAAACAGATCCAGTCCTACTTGTTGGAAGATATTCTTGAATATGGTTATCACTTGGAGGGCCAGCATATCCTGACGAACGTCGTCGCCCACCTTGAAAATAGCCGCTTGCCACGACTCTACACCCAGTGTCATTTTTGCGTCCTCCTGCGAGTTCTATGAAAGAGCGAGTCAGCATGAGCATGAACATAAGATAGAGGGAGAGAGAGAGAGACCCAAAAAGGGAGAGGGAGAGAGTTGGAAAAAGAGAGCACACTCACTGGATTATTAGACACCTCCATGGCACGCGTCTCGAGCTCATTTATGCCGCAACGATAGACACGAAATCGGGCCAGATATGGGGCCTTGGCCGCACTCTGCATGGGCGTACCGCTGCTATAGTCGATATCCAGGACCATTGCCTCTGGATTTGAGGGTAGATAACAACCCGATTGCACCTTGATGCGACTAAGCGCCGCCAGACAAGCGTTCTTCCGCTCAATACCCTTGGGAAAGGAACGAATCTCACCCGAGACTGCGGTGATTTTGCCAAAGAAATCAAATTCACGCTCATAGAAACGTTTTGCCGCCCCCGAGAACGAGGCGATTATGTTTTGTGAGAGCGCATCGAGCGCCTCATACAGATTGGGATCACGATGCTGCTGATCCTCATCCATATACATGTTCGTCTGCATGTTCCAGATAAGCTGATGGGCCACAATTTGGGAGCGTTTCGATATATTTTTGATGAACTCAACCACATAGCCCATGGTGTCGTGACGCAGCGCCTGAACCAATTGGGGAATGTACGGCAGCACCGATTCGGCGGGATACGAGCTGAGCGTCTTTACCGCATACTGTGCGGTCAGTGGATGCGATGGATACTGGCGGGAGAAGTAGGATAATGCCTGTATGGGTGTAACCGCTGACCAGGAGAGTATGTAGACCAGATCGGGACTCTCCTGCAACAGGTTCTTGGTGGTGCACAGGTACTTGAGCGCCTCGGGTATGTGGCAGACAGCGATGGGATCAGAGCAGACTAGACGGCTAACCTCCTCGTCAATGGTCTCAGCGTTCTTAATGCGTTGCGGCAGGAAGACGGCGAGCGCAGGATTATAGCCCCATGCAAGGCGAGCATAATCGCGCCACACATTCGGCTTGTACGGTCGATTGCGCCACTCCGTGATTTGCTCCTCGCCTGGAAAGATTAGGAGTGCGTTTCAGCAGGGGTTTCTAACTTTTTAGGCAGACTAAACACTTACCTGGCACTATAAGATCCGGCAGGCTGTTGGGATTATACCACGTGATAAGGAATTCAATTTCAACGGCGAGCAACTCCAGTATTAGATTACGTTTCTTCATGTAATCCTTGTCGTAGGAGTCTTTCTGATACTGCAGCCGCTTGGAACGATTCGAGCGCTTGGATAGCGTCGACGTGGAGTGGGGAATGGTGTTGTACCAGCCGCCAGTATTGCCGGTAGCGGACATGGAACGCGTATAATCGGCACCGCCACTAATCAGCGACGCCGTCTCTGGATTAGCTTTCACAGCCAGCATTTGGGTGGAGCTAACCGAAACATTTGTAATATCATAGTCCCCCACCTCGGAGGTAACCAGATGCTTCTTTTCGCTGCGCATCGTCTGCCAGAACTTGAGCAATATCAGTATATCATCGAGCAGCTGCTCCCGACTCTGATTGGGACATGTGGGCGGGCCGCAGAAATAGTCGAGGGCATTGGAGTAGATGCGCTCGCGCAAAATATTTCGTGCCAGCGACTTGGGAATGGTGTTGCCCTGCAACAACGACAGCCCACATTGCAGCAGCTTGAAGCGACAGCCGACTGTCGACACCTGACGATTCTGACGCGAATTCTTCAATATGGGCAGACAGCGATGCAACAGCAGACAGAACATCTCGACCTTGTCACGATTGCAATACTTGGCCGTGTCCACCATTTCTGAGAGCAGCTGCAGCCAAATCAGGTGCGGTGCTATCAGTATGGGTTTGGACACGAGCTTGCAACCGTCGTAGGCGGCCAACGGATTTGTGATCTCCATTTCCCAGGCAAAGAGGCCCATGCGCTTCTCAAAGGTTGTCTGCCAGGCACTCACCATTTCTTGTATGAAACACAATTCGAGATCCTGGCGCGCTGTCAACACCCATTGCCAGCACTCCACGGCCGTCTCCATCGCCGATTCTGTAAATAGTTCCACCTGCGATGTCGCGACCGCATGCAACAGTTTCCGATCGATTTCGGCACATATAATGAGGTAGGCCGTGGCACGCCACAATGCCCCTCGATGTCGGGCATCGCTCTTCTCAGCACATGCGCCCCACACATCCTTCACCAGGCGCTCCGCCAGACCCACTTTGTCCTCCTCGCTCAGCACCGACAACAGGCCAGAGATCTCGCCGGCATATTTGCTGCGCAGACACAGCACGGACACGAAACGCGGCGTGTCCGAATTGACGCAGTTGGGACGTTTATTGGCGACCGTGTTCAGCGCACTTGCTGGATGCATAGCACTGCTGTTCACCACCGAATCGAAGGCCAATGCCAAACCACTGTGATGCGCCAGCACCGGCGTTGGTATTTGGTTGGGATACTCCTGCAGGTGCGAACGTGTGGAGCGTGGCGCCCACTTCATCGCCTCGTTCACAATGCCCTGACAACGGTCGGCAAAGTCCTTCAGACGCAGCTCACGTGCCGGCAACGAATCCATCAACTGCAACGTGTAGGGTGTGGAGACCACGCGCAACGTGGGCGTCTCCTCGTTGGGATCAAGGGTTAGCGAATAGGCCAACAACTGCAGTATGTCTAGCATGCACCAAAGCACACGTCGATTCCACAGCAAGTGCGGAAAACGATCGACCAACTGGGACAAATACTGATCAGCCACCAGTTGTATTTGTTTGTGTATGTGATTGAAATAGACGAGCAGCAGCGTGGCCTGCGACTCCAACACCTTCTCTCGGATCTCGTCATGGGCATACAACACATTACGGAACTTCTCAAACACCTGATCGGCAACGCTGTATAATAATAATAATAAAGCGAAATAAAGCGAAGAAATGGTCGAGAATCTATTAGTGTGCAATTTATGAGTTTTTAGAGGAGAATGATAAACACTCGCCTCTTTTTTAAAGTAGAGAGCTCCAATATTCATATTCTGCTAAACTATTCTTGATCGTTCTTAAAGGAGATTCTACAGACTATTCGAATTCTTGATTAAGAATTGAAGCTACTCTTTGGAAAGAATTCAAAAAAAAACTTCAATAGTGCATTATAAAAATATGTAGTTTGAAAACAATAAAGGAATGCTAAAGTCGAGCGGACAATAAAAAAAAAAAATAATATAAAATAATTAAAAGAATAAAAAAAAATAAATTTTCAAAATTAAATTAATTAAATTAGACACATAATCACTAAGCGAACCTAATTACCAAATTTAAGTTCGAAATTTCAAAAATTACGGGAGTTATGAAAAATCTAATAGCCGGGGAGGTGGGGGGTGCATCAGAAACGAAAAGTAAAACAAACTTGATCTGCCTAGCGTTTAGGGGAACCTCGATACCAAGTTTAGTTATTCTAGCTCTTGTACTTGCTGAGATCCCTGCGTTCATACAGACAAACAGACTATCGACTCGTCTTGTCATACTGATCGAGAATAATATACTTTGTGGGATCTGCACGCCTCCTTCTGCGTGTTACATGTACACTCACATACCGTTTTACCCATTGGGTACAAGATATAAAGAATATCAATTAATGGGGACGAGAAAATGTTCAATACGCACCATTTGACGCACTGCCAGATGCCTGATTTATCCTTTTGGAGTGCGGTGTCACACAGATAACTCATAATCGGCTCGAGGCTGGGCTCGTCGGCGTTCTCGACACGCAGCATCTCCAACCAATAGACGCTCAGCAGGTATGTACATTGGGCAAAGGTCAACTTATTGATGGCCGTCGCCACATTGTCCGATGAGTGTTCCAGCAGGACCAAAATTTGGCTGCGCAGCTCATTAACCGAATCACTCTTGATGGCCAGCGTGTAGTTGAGTTCCCGCATATCTGATTTGTGGGCCGTTTGTGAAATGAGGAGCGGCGATTTGGCCGCAATCTGTTGTACTCCCTGATACCAGTCTGCTGGCCAGAGACGGGCATTTGTGAAGCCCATGACCACACAATAGACCCAGAAATCCTTGAAGAGCTTGTGCAGACGCATGCGGGGATTCTTGATGGGCGGCAGACGACGCACCAGCACCGCAATTACCGGTATTAGCATTCCCAGATTGCCGGCCCTCGAACTGGCCTTCTGGGCGCCCGGCGTATTATCATACGATCGTTCACCATCCAGTCCGATCTGCACAAAGAGCTCCAGCAACTTACCCAGCAGCTCCAGCATTTCGGCATCTCCCTGTATATTGGCCGCAATGTTTCCCAACGCATTAACCACAGCATCGGATACATGGTGGAACTGCTTGCGATGCTCCGGATCCGAGGTGTATGCCAGCGAGGCCGACTGCACCGTAACGCGTGAGAACATCTTCATGATCTCATCAAAGACATGCGTCTCACACTGCGAGATGATCATGCAGCCCAGCTGATCCACAATGAGGGCGTTCTGCTCCGATGGCACCTTGCAGAAGCGCTGAATGAAGAACTGCAGAATGTTCTGTGTGGTCTTCGAGGTGTCCTTCAATGCGACAGCCACATGGCCCAACATCACTATTATATTGAGGCTCACCAGCGTAGATTCGCTGGAAAATACAAAAGCCAACAAATAAGTAGACATTATCTAACTACCTCCTTTAACTGATGGCAGTCCTTGCTTACCTCTCATGTTTTTCGGCGGTGAATAGACGATTGGAGACATTCGCTACAAGAGCCGGAACACAGAACTGATCAAGCGTATGGGCTGCACGCAGAGCTATGCTCAGATTCTCGATAGCTGCATCGCGTAATGATTCGAAGGCCGCATGCCCGGAACGACCAGTGCCAACCTGTTTTTGGTTTTCGCCAAAAATATCGACAACGGCACGCGAATCTGAGTTCTGGACAACAATCTTGAATGGTGTCAACTCCTTTTCCTTCTTCTGTAGGGCCAATGTTTGCATGGCATGGGCATGTAGCTTGCCTAGAATGGGACTGGGATCGACGAGAAAGTCGCGCAGATACGAGATCGAAGTGCCCGCAATGTTGGGAAACTTCTGGGCCAATTTTCCGAGACCCTCCAAGCAGACCATCAGCAGCGGCATGTGATCCATGACGATCTTATGGCTTAATACCAGATTAAGCTTCTGCGAGAGACGTCCGCACAGCTTGTCGGCCTCTGTGGAGAGAGATCGAATCAAATTTAAAATTAGAGCGGCACATATGATGATGCAGTATATAATACATATGTATGTGTTTATGTGCTGGAAAAAAACTACAAACGGGCTTTGGTAGGTGCATTCTGGATGACAAACAATCTACTAGCCATGATGGAGAGAATGGCAAAGAAGGCTGAGCTCGAAGAGAATGCAGACAGTAGGAGGAGAGAGTGACATGCACGATGGGGCGACCAGATGGACGCGCATGCCATGAAAAGAACAGAACAAAACAATAATAGTAATAATAATAATAATAATAATAACAACAACAAGAACGAGAGCAAAATAGAAATTGGGGAATCTTTGATATGAAAGAAATGAATGGCGGGAACTCAAATAAACGAAACGCAACAAAATTAACGAACGCAAAAGTTGTCGCTGCCTTTGGCGGCTATTGACCTTTCTTCAACAAAAAATGCAAGCCATTCTGCAAGGATGGCACGTTATAGTCGGCGTCAACTGAAAAATAGCCCGTGAAGAAAAAAAAAGGTAACAAAAATAACAACTCGATGACAAAAACAAAAGAGAGCCAAATAGTCGAATGCGACCGACCATAGAATATAAGTACTATATATCCCATACCCCAGCCATCGAGAGGTGTCTCTGATTTTGATCACAGATCAATTCCAGACAGATCTATAATAGCATACAAAAGTCTATAAAATGTAAAGAAAATACATCATCCAATGTTAAAAAGTAAAGTAAATTAGTGTGGATATTTTGAAAAGTTATATAAAGATTTTTAGGCTTCCTGCGATACTGAAATTATTTCGAGGGATTCTCTTACTCTGTGAAAAGCTGACAACAATCAAGAAAATTCAATTTCGCCCCATTTGATTGTATGACGAATCGAGAATAGGGCCTCATTATGCTTAAAAAATGCAAGAGTATGGAATACACTGTACCCCCTATACAATATTTCTGCACTTTACTGGAAAGCCTAATCCTATTTAGTGTTGAACAGAGATTTGTATATGCCTTTAACAGAATCTTTAATCTCCATCTTCAAGCTCAATCTTCAGTCACCTATGCTAGCTTTATTTTCTTTAATAATCCAACTAGTAATAACAGATTATATCGCTATATAAAAAGAACGTTCTTTGGAGAGAAATTTCAATCAGAAAGAAATAAAGTATGTTATTATATTCGCCAACATTTTTCACATAGAATCTTTAATCTTAATTTTCTTTAATCTCAATCTTCATTCTTAAATGTTATCTTTATTTTGTTGAGGAAGGTTGTTAAGAAAATATATTTATCAAAGAGAAAAAACTATGCTACTATCTTCAAACGTCAAGATTTTCCGCATAGAATCTTTAATCTTCATCTTCTTCAATCTCAATCTTCAGCCTTAAATGTTATCTTTATTCTGTTCAGGTGATAGTTACGTTTGGAGAAGATAGATCATATTCTATATATAAGAAGGTTCTTAAGAAAAGAGATTCATCAAGTAGAAAAAAAAAGTATGCTACTATCTTCAAACGTCAAGATTTTCCGCATAGAATCTTCTTCAATCTCAAACTTCGGTCTCAAATGTTAGCCTTATTTTGTTAAATGTCATGGTTTACTGAAACTTGATTTAATTTGTGTTCTGTTAGCGATTTTAACGAATGGAAATTTTAATATTAATTGCTGTATTGTTTACCCCTCGCAAAGCCCAATTGTTCAGACAGACAAAGGTAGAAATGTTGCCCAAATCACATACTAAGATCCACTTAATTTACTTATTTTTTTTTTGGCTGATGGGGTATAGGATATAGACCAGCGATTGCCGCATACATTTAAGATGCAGTGGAATAGCCACCAACTTACCGGTTTCGTCTCGTATGGCCCACACAAGGAGATCAACACAGGCCGCATTGGCCATCACATTGACTTTGTATTTGTTGACAACGGTAATGCCGTTCTCTTCGCGTCTCTCACGCTCCTGATCCTGCTGCTTGTTCTGCAGCTCCGTTTGGCCATTGAGAAACAATCGTTTGACAAACTCTTGCACGTCCTTGGTAAAGGGTGTTGGCAAATCCACCTGATGCTGCAACAACTCGCGCAACAACGTGACCAGCACTAGATTGAGGGTCTCTGAGAAGCTCTTGTAGCAGTATCCCTTGATTTGATGCAGCGAGAATATGTCGCTGGCCTGCTCATCCAGATGCTCGAGCGTGTCCTTGGTGAGCAGCTTTTTGGAAACGGCGAATATGGTTTGCAAGTGCTGGATGGGAAAGGGCGGCACACGATACAGCGGTCGGGGCCCACACTTTGTTGGCGTCTCACAGACGCGCATATTAGGAAACTGATTGAAACTGGAGCCATAGCGGGTGAAGAAGTGCGTGCGTGGATCGTACGGCACAGAGAAGTAGCTGTGCAGTGATGGCTTCTGTTTGCAGCCAATATAATTGAATTGTCTGGGCCGTCCATCGTGCGCTGCATCCGCTGTCTGGGCCGACAAGCTGCCGGACATGGAGCGCGGTATAATGGGTCGAAATTGGGTCGTTGCGATCCGTTCGCTGGAGCTGAAGGAGCCGCCACAAGTGGCACTGCCGCTGCTATTGCTGCCATCCCGTCCGCTGGGTCGCTGTATAGGCAGCAGCTCTGGCGGAAAGATGCGACAAAGCAGCGGTGGATCATTGCCCGCATAACGGCCCATGGAGCGTGCCAGACCAAAGAGCAGTGGCACCGTCGCCTTGCATAATATAATGGGCGGCGGCGCCGAACTGCTATCCTTGCTCGACTTCACAATGTGTGCCAGAGCGCCCAGCGTTTCCACCTGATTCAAAATGATTTCCTCACGCGAATCGGGACACTTGGCCGCAATGTCTGAGAGCAGCGTGTTCAGGCAGAAGCTGAACTTCTCCGCCGAAGGTATGCGCACGCCTACAAAGGGAGCATATATTGTGATTAAAGGCGATTACGATTATGTCGGCACTAAAGCCACTTACGCTCCATTTTGCTGCTGCGCGCATCATCGATCCAGACGGCTTTAGGCAGACACTTGGCCAGGCGCAGCAGGTAGGACACAATTTGTGATTCATGTTGACAGCCGCCTTCCAAGAAGTAAATGCCCAAAGCAATGACCGCATCCTGGGCGCGTGTGTCCAAACAAAATACACCAGCAGCATTTTCCTGCGGACAGTAGCGGAACAGCGTCTGCACCTGTGTCCAACGAATGTAAATGGAATGAGAAGGTCACTGAGCATGTAACAACAACCCACGCACCCCCACCCACCCACACACACACACACACACACTAAACCACACGCATGTCAGTTGCGTTCAAGGTCAGCCGTTAGTTGTGCGAAAAGTCGATTTTTAATTGTCGCCTACATATGTATGAATATTTGCCCACAAACCTTCTCCCATGGCGTTGGCTGTATGCCAGCCAGGACGCGGGCCAGACACAGCACCGTGCGCTGATACGTGTACTTGTCCGAGGCGGTCATGTCTCAAGCGATAGTGTTTCGACTGGTCAGCGGTGTCGAAACCAACGACGACGACAATCAAGACCACCAAGGAGCGACGGGCGCGTTTTTGGCAAATGCTGCAGTCACCGGTCCCTCCTGCAAACAATTTGCACACTCTTAAGGGCTTATTTGGCTTGTTTAATTGCTTAGATGTCTTCACTAAACATTGTCATCGTTCAAATTGTTCGAATTTTTGTGTTATTTTCGTTTGCACTAAGTAGTCATCGTTGTGCTTCGATGCTCTTTACTGCGTGATTCATCGACGGACTATCGTTATCGTTGTAGAGATAGCAAAAAACAGCTGTTTAGGCAAGCAAACGTTGCGATTGTACATTATGTATGTACATATGTACATAAATAATTTAATAAAGCCGACTAATGACTAACTTTACATTGCATTTAATCTAATTAAACCACTAACAGCATATATGTATATGAGTATAAAAATGTGTATCTATTTCATTTTCCTTGGCTACGCGGCTTATCGCTAAATCCAATGAAAATATTCATTCATATATTTTTTGATTAAATTTTGAGCTTTTTACTGTCTACACCGGCCGTATAAAATTCTTTTGACATATTAGAAAATACTTTTTTTATTTGTTAAAACTTTATTACAGCGCGGTGAAAATAATTAAATTTAAAAAAAACGGAATTTTCAAGACCCATTGATGTTTGTACTAATATGATAATATTCCAATAGCACATTAGTCTTTTCAAAAATTTAAAGTTCTTTAGGTGTGCAGAATTTTTTTTAAAATTTATTGTCAAATTCTTAGGGTGACCGTTATTGATCCTCGGTCTTATCGGTCAATCGAATATTTCGGCCTATCGATATGTACATTTACCATGTACCACCCACCTATTTACCTAAACCGCGCTAAGTTGGGCGTCACTTTGAAATATTTCCCACCTGACAACCTAGTCTTACAACATTTTATATTTGCTTCGTTATGTGTTTAATGCACTGTTGGTCTGACTTATAGTATTGTACTATCTGTGTATATTATATATGTACATTATATATTATAATGACGCCTGCAAAAAATAAAACACTAGACTCTCAACCAAAAAGGTAATGTGAACGCACATATTGTTCGGGGATTTGTTAAACCGCATTTGTTTCAGCAGCATAAACCCACCTGTTACGTACGAAGTCTTTGAAAAATTAATTGAAAATCTACGGGACATTGGTTTTAAGATACAACTCAGCGAAGATGTAGGTCCTGAGATAAAAACATTGGACAAATGCATGAAGTATTATTACAATGCCTTTTATGAGGATGAATGCGCCATTCGCTCCCAATATGAGTTTAAGGTGCGACCCTGCCCGCTCTCCGTTAGGGAGAAGTTGTTGGCAATGCCCGCTGCGGGCAGAACTTCTAATAGCAATAGTCCGACACCGATGGAGGAGCATTTGGTTACAGTGAGGGAGTAAGTTAAGTGATCAATAAAACAATGTTTTATTCAGCTTTATTCCTCTATGACAGTGCCGGAAAATTCATATTTCCTGTTTCGTTCGACATGTTTGAGAATTACATAAACAAGGACAAACTGCTGCCGTCGCTTGTCAGAAAGGAGACGACTAGCAGTAGGGAGCGCAGATCTATACTGGCCAGTGAGTCCGCTTGTCGAAACCTTTTGCGCAAATACTACAATTCCTTCTACATATTTCCAAATGCACGCAAGCTACACAAATATAATTTTGAGAAAGCACCTCCTGAATTACAGTCGCAATTGCTACAAATCGCCCGAAAACACACCGCAGACACCGCTCCAAAGAATACGTAAGTGTCCAGAACAAATTCTTTGCTCCTTGTAATTACTAATTTGTTAATATTTCTTCAGAAAATCATTTGTAGACTTATGCGCCGAAAGCAGCTCAGATGGAGATGAGACGGCCAGTGACGTTGTGGAAAACAGGTGGGTTTCTGTTGAATTGGTATCAAGAAAATAAGACTAGATATTTGAGGAAAACTTAAATAATTGAAAAAGTCCAGTGTCGAGTGTTGAGGTAAACAATAATTATAAATTTGGCAAACTAATAACGATTTGCGATTTGACTGTTAATATGATTTGATAAGTTCTTTGGTGCTTGTAATATAATAGAATAGAAGAAGAACAAGGAATTTTGACTTTAAACTTCAATATTGCCCAACTGAACAGCAACTCTTTTATATTTTCAGACCACAGGATAACAACGATATCCGGAAACCTGAAAATGAATCATCCACGGATCACAATTTGAACAAAACACACAGAACTACAACAGGTACGTAGAATGCAATGAAAATCGAAATCTATTTGAATTAATTTCTTGATAAAATTTTAAATTGTTTCGTAATGCATAGAAACTGTGGCTGATTTGGAAACGAATAAAAGGTTGGTCTGGTAAGTTAAGAACATTTATGGAACCAGAGAGGAGTGGTTTCACGAGACACGTAAGAAGACTGCCTGCCACCGGATCCATCCAGATGATCTAAGACTTACAAGGCGTAGTCCTAGCTGCCATTAGACCGGAAACACCTGAGCGAATGAAACAAATATAACGCTTAGCTTAGCATTTGATTGTTGACTAAAATGTGATTGTTTTATAGATAGATTAGGATTAGGTGGCTGGAGACATTTGCGAGGCACCGACTGTCCCTGATGTCCTGCTTATTCGCTGTATTTTCAAATCCATTTCGCTCAATATTTGTATTTGAAACCCAATCTTTGTATCGTTTTTTTATCGTCTGCAAGACATCTTGCAATCGAAAGAGAAATAGCCTTTAATTGAAATAAATAACACCATTGGCCATTTGCCTAATAAACAATATAATTTCTTTTTATTGACGTTATTCCATTTTTTTGTTGCTATTATAATTTGTGGGATTTCTTTGCTTTGAGTCGCAGATCTCAAACAATTATTCAATTAGTTCAAACAATCCATTTCTGCCCATTTTCAATTGTTGTTTTGTTCCCTCAATCCAGCAAACAGCAAGTTCGCAATTGAAAATGAGCTGCGAAAGTGTAACTTTTCTAATTATTAAATTAATTAATAATCATACTTGTATGTTGTTCTTCTCTGTCATTCTTTCTTGCTACTGTGTTTTTTTTTTGTTTAATTCAACATTTTGCTGTTCTTAAACAAACAGAAAAAAAATATAGATTCCAAATTACTTAAACTTTTATTCATTTTGGCTAGATTTGATAACATTTGCGTAGACCCTCGAATTCCAAACGAGATACAGGGGGTTAACAAATAAATTTTTGTATATAGTATGCATGTTTTTCGATCTTGTTTGTGTAACCAAAAAAACAAGACAAAAAAATTGTTATTATTATGTTATTTTGGTTTTCCAAAAACTCGCTATACATTACGCCTACACATATACATATTTCTCTCCCTTCATCTCTCTCTATATATATATATATATACTATATATGATATATATTCATATAAAGATCCATTGCTGAATGCGCTTAACATGATAAACTAGTTTAGCTGCTGTTTGCCGCTTCTGTTCAAGTCATTTATAGAAATATATATATGTATATATATTGTGTGTGTATTGTAGAGTTGGGACCGACATACCCAGTAATTAATACTAATTGTAGGTTTGTTTTTTTTTTTTTTTTGTTCGTTTTCACCCTCTCTCTCTCTCTCTATCTCTCTATTCTCTGTTACATGTTTCCTGTTCTCTATGCTGTATGTTTAATGTTTAATGCTCTGCCCTCTTGCTATTGTTAATTGTTTAATTGAATTGTTATTCCTGTACCCTAGATAATGTATACGTATTATGGCCTAAGGCTCACACATTCTCTCGATTGGTCAATTCGTCAAGCCATCATTCCCCTCCACCTGCAACCTCCCTGACCTGCCGCGTGTCTGTGTGGCCATCAACTAACTGTATTCCAACAGCTCTTCTCTATATGATCTATATATACTCGTACTTATAACCGACCATGATCAAAACAATAGTGGAGAGATAATACCAAGCCAAGAAAAATGATTTCTTAAAGCTGGCTGAACAAGAAGACTGGTCTACACAGAATTTAGCAAATCTTTGGGACTTAATGTGGTGCTCAATCAATTAAGATGATATAATATAGTACTATATGCATGTGAAAGATTACAAAAATTTCAAAAAAATAAAAAAACAACTGTACTGCCAATGTAGAACATTTTTGATTATTTTTATAAACTTGATTGCGCCTGTTATAGACGACTTTAAGGCATTACAGAGATGAAATATGTCAATACGGATAATGTTGAAGTAACTTTCTTTCTCGAAAGTCTTAGAAAATGTTATTTCATTCCTATGAGAAGAGAATTATGGAGATATGGCTAGAAACATTTTATGGAATAGAATTCGAAAAATACGAGTATTTGCGCTGCAGAATAGATCCAGAATAAAATCCATTAGAAGTTTGTAAAAAGACTTTAGAGCCTTACAGAAGAGAAGAGATAGAAACAAAATGTATTGTTGACTTAAAGTCAAATCTGCTCCGAATAGGGTTCTAAGCTGTTGGAGTGATATTTTCAAACTCAAAAATTTGTTGTTGATTTTGAAAACAATTGTACTATGTTTATAGGAAGACTAATAAAACTGCTGCTTGAAATATATAAGTACTATATATGTAAGAAGCGTTTGTTGATATAGAAAACTATATTTACAGATGTACTTCTTAGTTGTTGGTATAAAAAACTATAATCATAGAAACAGGACCGTAACGATTTAGGTTGGCGAAGTTTCCTGACTAATAAAGTCGAATTAGATATCAAGAATATAGGTTTTGACACTTGCAAAAACAAAAATTTTAAGATGGAGTTGGAGATTAAATTTCTTTGAAATATTAAAAGGGAATCATCAATTCTTCCCATCCAAATAACTTTTTTTATTTCCAAAACTGACAAAGTATACGAAGTATTATAATAACGATGCAATTATAGAGGGTTTTTTATTTGTGAAACTTACGAAGAAATTGTCATTGAAAATTACAAACAGAGCCATAAGAAAGTATGTTCCGGCAAAATCAAAATTATTGGCAGCATTATAAACAGCAAAAACTATTGGGCTTGTCGAATCCTTGAATGAAATTTGGGCGCCCAAAAAACTGAGGAAGAGTTAAAAATGTTTCAGAAAATTCATAGTTATAATAAGTGATGGATCGTAACAGTCATGGTGCTCAGTACAAGCATATAGTTGAGAGAAACGATTGAAAACTAAAGACCAAGCGAGAAATCTTTAATAGGATTAACAGCTATAGATTCGATTCTTCTGAAACTGAATTCACTTTCAACATGTTTCCTGCTTCCGTCCACAACAACGAATATCATAATGTAAACGATTGGAAACATTATCATCTGAAAGATTTTGTGAAAATATGGCCCTTTTTCTGGTGAGACTCAAACATATAGATTTGTTTTGGCGCATCTCTAAACATTATTTGAAGGTGTTTTGGGAAATGATTGGAATCCAAAAAGTGAGCAAGGGATTTTAAATAGGGTTGACGTTTCGGCAGACCACTCTTTAAGATTTGGGATTCATGTGAAAGAGTTTTTTGACAAACATATTATTTACTCGTACACACTTGCTGTACTATCTCTATTGTTTTGATCATGGATCTGTAATTTGGTTGGCATGCACGTTTCTAATATTCACTTCCTACTGCCTACGCGTTTACGTTTGCTCCTGCTTCACCTTCGTCTTCTTCTTTTTCTTGTACATATATGTATATACTTGATAAATAAAAAATAATAATAGTAAATAAAAGTATTTAATTGTGGATTATAATGTTTTTATTATGGGTCTTGCCATCGAATACAGCTTAAGAATATTAAAAAAATTACAAAAAAAACATAAAATTATACGATTATCGATCAAACACATATATGTGAGTATGTGTGTGAGTGTGGGTGTGTGTGTGTTTGTGTGTGTGTGTGTTTACGTTATGTATATAAATTATTTTGTATTTGGTATAAAACAAATAAATTTCCTCGCTCTACAGCTCTGCATTGTAAGACGACTTTAGAAATTAGAATGCTAGGCATATATGTAGTATATGCGTATAAGTAGTAGGTAGATATAGAAAAATATTTATAAATTTGTTTCAATATATGCATATATTTATGTATTTACAACTTAAACAACAGCTAGTTAAAATAAAACTTACATAAAAGTGTGACTTGTTGTTGTTGTTGCTTTAGTTGATATATTTCAAAGATTTCCATCTTCATTTCTTCTCGTCTCATTTCTTAAACTTAAACTTAAATGATCATTTAAATTATTTGGTCGAAAAAACAAACGATTTTCAAACAAACAAGCAAACAAAAACTATACTCGTATTTGTTGTTAAATATCAGAAATCAAATTTCTCAAACTATTCTCGCAGCTTAAAAAACTAACAACAAAAAACTTGCAGCCGAAAGAATTGTTTTTTTTTTTTTTGTTTTTGGGGCTGCTTCCATTTCACAACAACAAGAAAAGGAGGGAGGAATATTATTAAACAAAAAATAAAATAAAACATAATGAACTATAATAATCAAACAAAAATCTCAAAGTGTGTGCGCAATTATTGCTTGAGCATAAATTATTGTTTTTCTTTTTTTTTTTTAAATACACATCCAATACAATAATGTGAAGGGTTTTGGGTTCTGTAGGGGGGTCTGTGGGGTGTGCAAGAAGGTATTGGAGTCGATGAGGAATAAGCGTCGCAGGAAACGGGGGTTCTGAGCCAGGATGTCCATAAGACGCGTTGAAGGACATTTTTTGATTAAAGTTTTTGTTTGTTTACATATGTTGATGTACTCGTACGTAATTTTTGTTAACATTTTTTGTTTGTTTTGTTTACATTAGAGCTTCATGAATGTTTATTTGTGGACTGTGGAAAACTGATATAAATTTTAGAGCGTACAACTATAGCTCTATGAATGTTTTTGTTTTTTTCTACAGAGCGTGGGAATCTGCGTGATCTTTATTTGTCCGCCCAAGGATATTTTAAAGAGAGAGTGAAGTTAGAGCACATATTAGCAACCCATAATTCATGTAAATTAAATTTTGAACTGTTTGGTCTGGTAAATACATAAAGATAAGAACTTAAAACGAGAGAAAAATGCTGTATATTTTCTCCGTCCACCAAACAGTTCAAAATTTAGTTTACATGCATGATGGGTCGCTAATAATTATGTTCCAACAGCGGTGGCAACGAAACTCCAGCACCACCTAAAAAATCCTCGAGCAGAACAAATAGAAGCTGCACAGTTTGCCGAACTCTGTAAAAAAAAAACAACATTCATGGAGCTCTAGTTTTTCGCCCTTAAATTTAAATCTGTTTTCTACAGTCAAAAAAAAAACATTCATGAAGCTCTAATGTAAAAAAAAATGTTAACAAAAATTACCTACGAGTACATCAACATATGTAAACAAAAAAAAAGTAATTTAAAATGACCTCCGACGTGCCTTATTTATATCTTAGTTCAGAACCCCCCTTTCCTGGGATCTTGGCTTCCCTATCTCCTTATTCCCTATCTTATTATTTGAGTATACAACAGAATACCACGAGTCTTCGCAATAAAAACTGGGGGTACAATCATGTATAGTATGTAAAATACACGACAAGCTAGAACGCAGAGATAGCCGAGCAGAGCCGACTATGGGCGGTTGCCCTGAAAAACAAATAAATATCGGAGCTATGAACAATTTCAAACAAACTTGATGTGCGTGCAACTTAGAGGAATGCCAGACATCAAGCCAGATATCAAAAGCAATTATAATATGAGAGTTAGGGGCGTTCATACAGACAGACGCGCGAAACAGACACACAGTGCTCCAAGAGGAATGCAGACATCAAGTGAGTCAGACAGATAGGTGTTCGAACAGACATACAAACGGGCATCTAGCTTTTAAGTGTTTGGCACAAACTGACGAACGGACATAGCCATATGGTCTACAATGCGCTTTTCTAAGCCTTTTCGCTTAAAGTGTAGCTTAAACAAATGCTTCCTTACTGTACAGGATATTTAAATACTATGGGCGACTTGCGCGCTCACTTGACCTCAACTCAATAAATACATAATTAACTTAATAACAAAATGTGGCGGCATATATGTAATAATAAATAAAATAAGATACATAAAATTACTTACAGCTTCCCCTACTCGATCCACAGTTCTCTACACTATTTCTTCATTTCGATATTTCTTCTTCATCTTCTTCATATTCTTCTTCTTAGCTCGATCGTGCGTTTGGAAATAATGTTATTTTCCATAAAACACATAAAATATCTCTGGAAACCTTAATTATACTGTAAGTTTCTCTTCTTGTCTTCTTCTTCTTATTTTTTAGTGATTTGTAACTCTTCAGAGATAACAATTGTTTCAACTTTGGTTGCATGGGGATGTATTGGATAGCCCTGGCTTGGATACGTCTACATACCCCAATCAACTAGTTCAGTTTTTAATGGCAAATAATTTATACAGACATGTTCCTGTTTACGAATTCAATCACATAATGCGGAATCGAAATCGAACAAATTCGGAATTTAGTTGTGCGAATTAAGGCGTTTCGTAGGTTGCCACTGTTCGAATCATTGTTGAATAATAATGGAATAAGAAACGCTTATCAATTGATCGAAAGCCGGAATAGGCCTCCTGATTATCAAATTTTCCAAAGGTCATCAATGTTATTTTGATAGTTATTTATAATAATTCGAAGTGATGAGAGTTTTCAAGGAATAACATCCTAAACGCCATTGAAAAGAGATATAGTTTCGTATGACTTATAACAGGATTGTTCTTAATTCCGCTTCCTTTGAGTTTCATATTTCTTCTTGGAAATTTTCTGTTAAAAATAGTTTGTTTCCATTTGCAAAATATACCAAATATCATTACGAAAATGAAACATGGTTTCGTTTTTATGTAAAATCGATCTAATTTAAGCAGGAAAACAAGATTGGTATTAATTTCTTGTTTGCTTAAGTTTCCGATTTCAAATATTTTAAAATCTCTTGGATGCCTTATACGCTACGTCAAAATTGAAAGGTTTGCGGAAATTTCGTTTCGTTTTCATTTAAAATCTGACAAAGTTAAATGTTAGAAGAAGAATAGTTTTCATTCCGATTCGTTCGATTTCAATTTGTTAAGAGTTTTAAAAATCGAAAAATTATATGAGATATGTAGAGTTTTTAAAAAGATCAGTTGGCATTGAAAGTGGTTTGCAAAAATGTTTCGTTTTCATTTCAAAACCGGAAGAGTTGAGCATTAAAGTGGGATTTTTCTTCTACTTTGTTTCAGAAAAATGTAAAATTTTGATAATTTGGTTTCAGAGATATTACGAGCTTTATACAGACGCCTATTTGCCTTTCAATACACACTTTGCAATTTCAACTGTCTGTTTCTCTGTCTGTCTGTCTTTCGCTAATGTGTGTGTGTGTGTTGTCTGTGTGTGTGTGTGAACAGTTTTCTTTAACAGTTAATTCACTGGCCAGCAATTTTACCGGCTTCCCCCTCTCTCTCTCTCCCTCTCTCCCTCTCTCCCGCTCTCCCACTCTCTTTCTCTCTCTATTTCTGTCCTGCCCTGTCACATTTGTGCCACGCTTGAGTTTTCGTACTTATTGTACTTAAAAAATTAATTAAGCTTATGTATTAATTTGTTTTACGATTCTCGCCTTCCTTGCTTTACATATCAACTTCTTTCTACACACACACATACACATGCATACATAAGTGTATATGTATATGTCTGTATGTGTATCATAAATAAGTTGTTGCCTAAAGTGTGAGTTTTTGTTTTTGTGTTTTTTTTTTTTTGATTTGTTTTTTAGTCGGTAATAAAATTGTTTTAAGATTTTAATGCTGTCTGATTTCAACTTTTTTGTTTTTGTGTTTCTTTCTTTTTTCTTTTTTTTTTTTTTTTGTTAATGTGCGCCAAGTCTTTTGGTTGTTGTTGTTGCTGTTGCTATTGCTGTAGTTTGTTGTTGTTGTTGTTGTTGGTGCTTTTGTTGTGAATACTGGCATTGCGTGCGGAGCAGAGCCAACGCACGCCACGCCTGCTTCTAACTGTAGAGCAGACTGTTCTTTTGGGGCAGCTTGAGGAGACGACGGGTGCGGAACTCGTAGGCGCGACGACAGAACATTACCAGCTCGGGATTTGTGTGGTCGGGAACGGTGCGTACGGGATAACAATTGGTCGTATTGGTGCGTCGGGGCACAATGCTCACATCCTCGACATCCTCCTCGGCAGCGCGCAGACGACGGCGATATCTAAAAGCAGCAGAGAAGAGTATGTAAAAATTGTGGTTCAAAAACTATTCGCACTATTCCCACTCACCTGCAATACTCGCTAAAGGTGAGGACGTAGCATTTGTCCTCGATGCAGGCCACTGAGTTGTGATCACGATGACGCGAGGCGTACACCTCGTCGGGACAATCGTTGCGCTGACGTCCCTGATCCGTGTGCTCAGGACGATAATACCAAAGCAGCGACATCATCATCTCACCTGTGGGTATTGGCAAGGGAATTTTTATTTATTTGTGAAGTTGAAGTTTGAAGTCATTGCTCACCATCCTCAGGATTTTGCCAGAGGTGCGCCACCTTGGCCACATAGGGCAGCTCGTTATCCTCGTTGGCCTTTAGCAGCACACAGTCGCGCGTCCGTATGATGTCCCCCTCAACGTGTCGCATGGCCGGATAGCACGTGCGCAGTACCAGCGGATCGTCGCTCTATATAGAAGGGGTATAAAACAGCATATGATTCAACCGGTATTGCATTATACAAGTATACAAGTATAGTATTATCCTGGTGGTTGAAATCTTTCTTTCACATGCAATTGTATAATTTGGTTCCTATATCTTCATATAATTAGAAAAAAATCTGGCAACTTAATGATATAGTAATCCCATCGAACCCCGACTTTTGAATTTATAAATTCACTTTTTTGTAGCCTTATTTGTTTCCAATATTTTATTAAACAAAAAAGTTTTTCAAACCAAGATTGTTAGGCTTGTCCGATTCGACTCAGACTTTACAAGGTTCGCTATATGTATCTTATTTGGTTCCAATATTTTCATAGGGTAAAAAAACCTAGTCGTTTCTATGGCAGTTTAATGATATAATAGTCGATTTATATGAAACATCCTTGTACCTTATATGATTCCAATATTTTTACAAACAATAAAGATTTTCAAAGCAAGATTCTTTTACTCTGATGGTTGCTATGCTTGTCCGATCCGATCCTATATGTATCTTATTTGGTTCCGATATCTTTACAAACACAAATGTTGTTTATAAAAAGACTTCACACTCTGATGGTTCCTATGACATCTATACTATATGATACATAAGCATTTATCTCGATATGTTTGCATACAAAAAAGACTTAAATTATAATCGTCCCTATGGCAGCTATATGATACATATATTAGTTCGATTCAGTTCAAATTCAACATTATAGAATAATAATAAGCACAAGACAAGAACAAGCCACAAATTTTGTTGAGAAAACTTAGAAAAAAAACTTTAATGATCTGCTTTCAGGAATGAAAGAACTCTGTGCAGATATTCAACGCAATATCTTTACAGCTGATAGAGAAGTTTCCATGACTATATCTATATTCGTTTCGACATGATGTATCTATAGCATGGACTCTGTCTGGAAGCTCTATAACATATGCTACGGTATAAGAAATATCCAATCTAACCACTAACAAATCCTTGTTCGGTAAACTCCTTCTCATTGTGTAAAGATGAAAGACTATTATATGATATAATTAAAAGTTCATATATAGAATATTTAAGCCTTAACATTATGAGTATGTTATCGGAGTCCTCAAATGCTTCAAATCTTTATTATGTTAGCTTCTAGTAGTTTAAGAGTCAAATAAAAACAGTCGACCCAACCCAAATAATTTGTGGGGAATCGGACATTAATATCGGATCAGATTTATATTCAATATTTGGATATTAAATATTTGATAACATCACAGATTTTTTGGTAATTTGGAGTTTTTTCTTGTGGTCATATAAATCGGAAAACTTTAGCTTTAACTTAACTTAGTGGTTTGGAGCGCAAAGAAAAAAGTGAATGGAAGTTAAAAAAAAAAAAAGAAATGGGCAAAGCCTATAACACAATAACTGCTAGATGATGGAAGAGCGGAAACTTTTGGACTGCTATCGAGACTATCAATTGCTTGATCAACGTGTATTAGTGATAAGCCTTCTTTCAACACTTACATTGAGAAATACTGGACCCTGAAAGGGCTTGCCGGCCCATACCCAACCATTGTTCCATTTGGGCACCACATTGGCACGCGTGGCCGGCGGTTGGGTTTCGTCCACCTCGTAGGAGACGCCACCAGGGCGTTGACGCTGTCGCTTGCGATTGCCAAACTTGCAGCGGGAGCGCGCCCGCTTCGTGTGGTTGTGGGCGTAGGCTTGACGCGTCGGTGGCGGCAGACTGGGCACCAGGAACTTGTGTTGCTCATCGGAATGTTGAGGTTGTGGTTGCGGTTGCGTTTGCGTTGTTGGCATTGAAAGCTCATCTGTTTGCTTCGTTGTTGCCAAGTTGTTGTTGCTGTTATTATTGCTTGTGCTTGCCACAGCCTCAGCGGTTGTATCTGTTGCTGTGGTGGTACTGGTGGTTGTGGTTGTGGTGGTGCCACCTGCTTCCAGGGACGCTGCATGCTTTTGCAAATTTGCCGCTTGATACTCATTGTTGTTGGTCTCTGTGGCCACTGTGGCGGTTGTTGGAAATTCGCCGCTCGTTGTGGTTGCGGCGTTCTTCTTAGTCTTAACCGCCGGCTGCTTGCGCGGCTGTTTAGCTTTCGATTTGGTTGCGGCGGACTGTTTGCGCGGCTTCTTGGCAGGCGGCTCATCGGCGGCGAGTTCTGCTTCTGCCATTGCCGCCGCCGCTGCCGCTGCTGCTGCTGCTGAGGTAGTTGCCGTTTCTGCCGACAGCTTGAGCTCCGCGGCATTCACGCTGCGCATGTGCGCCAACACAATGCTCGCGGCGCTGCTACATTGGGTTTGGAGCGGCCTTTTCGTCTCCGATTTGGAGCGTTTCTCGCTTACTGGTTTCGATTGCTTGCCAGCTTTGCTGCCACTTTTGGCCGCTGACGTCGATGTGGCTGTAGTTGCCCCTGCCCCTGCCCCTGCGGCTTTAGGTTTTGTTGTTGCCGCCGGCGCTGCTTTTAGTGTGAGCGGCGAGGGCGTGGAGGGGGCATAGAGACTATGTGGTTGGCCGCGACTGCTGTTTAGCTCCGGATCGGAGAAATAGCCGCGCGCCACCGTATCAATGGTTTCCAGGATGTGTAACGCAGCAATGGCCTGTTTGCGCGGCCGTGCGCGTTTTGGCGAGGCAGCCGGCGAGCTTGTGGAGGCGGCCACCACTTGCTGCTCTGCGGCCGAGTCGAGGAGCGCAGTCGTTGACGTTGACGTCGTCGCTGTAGTGGCTGTGGAGGTCGGTGTTGCCGTTGCCGTTCCTTGTTTCCGCGCACGTCGCTGCTCCCGCGCCTCCCGCTTACGCTGAAGAAGCGTCTCGCGTCGCTGCTCGCGTACACGTTGCTTCTGGCGTTCGGTTAGAACCAGTTGGCGACGCTTCACATATTTGGCCGGCACACGGCCATAGCGTCTGCCATATTTGCGGCTCAGACAGAGATAGGCTTTCGGCTCGGCCTGCTTAATGAGGCTCTTGTAGCTGTGGGCCGATGATTTTTTGCTCTGCTGTCCGCCCTTACACTCCAGAATTTTGATGCGCTTGCTGCCAGATGTGGAGGCGGCGGCGGCTTCTTCTTCGTTTTCTGGCTGGGGCTGTTCAGGTTCAGGCTTCGTTTCGGTTTCCGTCTCTGGCTCCGGCTCAGTTTTGATTGTTAGCTTCAAATCAGGCAGACTATTGCTGTCGTTGTTGTTGTTGTTGTTGTTGATTTTACTACTTTGGCTGATATGCGAAATTGTTGCTGCCACACCAGCAACTGCCACATAATCGTGTTCTATTTTGATTTTGGTCTCTGCTTTGATTTCCGCTTTAAGTACAAAAGGCAACTTTGGTTCGTCTTCTGCAAGCTGCTGTTGCTGCTGCTGTTGTTGGTGTTGTTGTTGTAATTGCTGTTGCTGCTGCTGCTGTTGCTGCTGATGGTCGTCTGCCTCCTTGGCAGTGGCTGCCTCTTTGGTCAGCATCTGCTGTTGCTGCTGCTGCGCCGCATAAACCATTTCGCGCGCCATTGTCTTACCAATGCGCGCCTTGCGTGCCACGCCCACTACGGGCACGGTGGCTGCTGCCGCCGGCAGTGTCATTGTCACTGTGAGCGGCGGTGGCGGCGGCGTTCCAGCCGTTAAATCATAAGCCTCTATATCAGACGCTTGCGTCTGAGTTTCTTTCTCATCGGCACCCGTCTCCTTGCCGCTCTGCTCCTCAAGTTCTAATTCCTCTTCCAATTCCTCCTCCATTAGCAATTTATCATCGCTGGCGCAGTAGCTTTCGGGCGGGGTGGGCGGCTGCATTACATGCGCTTCGTATTGACTTTTGCCGTTACTGTTGTTGTTGTTGTTGTTATTGTTGTTGCTTTTATTACTGTGGTTGTTGTTGTTGTGCTCAGTTTTGAGCTCCGTTTTAACCAGCACCTGACATTGGGTGCCGATGTTGTTGGTGTTCAAAGCCGCTGTTGCAGCTGCGGCTGTAATTGCTATCGTGTTGTTGCTGTTGGTGTTGTTGTTGTTGTTGCCATTTTTAACTGGGCCCCTACTGGTAGTCAGCGTTGTTGTAGTGTTGTTGCTGTTGTTGCTTGTCGGCGGCGGCGTATGCAACATGTTGCTGCTGTTGTTGTTGCTGATAAGCAAACTGTTGCTGTTGCTGCTGCTGCTGCCACTCAAATGCATATTGTTGCTGCTGCTGTTGTTGTTGCTGTTGCTGTTGTTGTTGTTGCTGCTGCTCGTAGAGTTCACTATCATACTGCTGTGATTGCTCCTGCTGCTCGTCCTGTGCATAGGACTGCTGCTGTTGTTGCTGCTGGTTGTGCTGCTGCTGCTGTTCTTCTTGCTGCTGCTGCTGCTGCTGTTGCTACCAATATGAGGCCCAGTATGGACGTTTTTTGGACACGATTGTTGCATTGGACACGGACACTGTGGCGGATACTCTGCAATTATGAGGGAAGTGTACAAATTAGAAGAGTTTTCAAAGCAAATCACTTAAACACACTTAATTGGTATTATCCACGGCACAAGCCGAAGCGAATATGTATATCCTTGCAAGCTAACTTTGTTTCGCTCCAAATTAAGTTTTAAGAACTATTACATTTAGTGTAGTGTTTATTTTGGAAATATAAATAAATAAATGAACTACTAATAACTACAACGAATACAAATAAAATTATCTACTGAAATAAATAAAGAGGAGGTCTTTAAACAACGCGTATGATAAACTGGACAAATGTATAGTAAATTTACAATATCCCTCAGGCAAAATTTGGTGAAACTGATTGTTTCTGAGATATTGGCATTCATAAGGACAAACCTTACTTACTGCGCCTGTCCTTTTCCCCATATAGCTGAGCTCTTTTTTTGTCATATCAATCGCTGTTATTAGCTTTATCTAACAGTTTATTCATTCATCAAAAGTATGTAAGTCAGAGGTATTTGGATACGAGGTTTGATGAGTCTGATTGTTAAAGACTCTGAAATATGGGCGTTCATACATTCAAACACTATTTATATTTTGGTTAAGTCACGCTTTATAAGTAAATTACTTAAAGGTATTCCCATGAAACGTTTGGTGAGTAGTCTCCCAGTTCAAGATATTCATGTGGATAAACACTATTTACCTATTAGGCATGGTTTAATTTTTTTTTTTTGCAAAGGTGTACACCTGAAAGGGAATAAGTTGGGAGTGTGGGGACTGTAGGGATAAAATTTGCCACTGATGGTAGTTTGGCTATCTAGTTTAGGCTAAGAACCATACTTTTCCTTACCCATATACGGCCCCTGTATGCTGCGCGTGTAGCACTGTCCGGCGGCTGGACTGCCGCCGGGACTGTAACCGGCGTAGTAGCTGGGCGGACCCGGAAAATGTTCCAGATGCTGCGTATGTGCGGGCACTAGTTGTGTGACGGCCGATGTTGGAGGGCCAGGCGCCAGAGGTTGTTGTTGGGGCTGCGGTAAAGGCGTCTGTCCTGCTGACGTTGGAGCCTGTACTGCGCCCGTTGATGGCAATGAGCCAGATGCGCTTACGGGTGTCTGACCGGTGGCGGCTGTGGCTGCTGTTGACGATGGCGGCTGTGGCACTGGGTGTTGCGGCGGCTGCTGCTGCTGTTGTTGTTGTTGTTGTTGTTGCTCATACAATTCGGCCAACGGCGGTGGTGGCGGACCGTGCTGATAGTACGGATAGCGTCGATAGGCGCCGGGCGGCGGTGGATGCGGTGGCGGCGGCGCACTCTGATAGACTTTGGTTGAGAAATACGGCTGATAGGCGGGTGGTGAATAGCACATGACCTCATTAGGATACGGTGAGTAATAGTTGGGCGGATAGGCCGTTGAATAGTGGATCTGGGCTGCGTGCATCGATCGTGGATACGGCACACCCGGATGTGCGGCGGCTGCGGCGGCAGCGGCCGCAGTAGCGGCCACGGCGGAAGCGGCAGCAGCTTGTTGCTGATGGTACTGCTGCTGTTGCTGGTGTTGCTGTCCCGTTAGCGGTGTCGGCTGTGCGTGATGCGGCGGTTGCGTTTGATGGGCGCTGCTGTAACGCAGGGGCGTGAGGTCCGCACCTCCAAGCAGCACCTCTGAGCCGTCGGTTTGGGGTGGCTGGGATGTTGGTGATCCTTCCTCCTCGGTCTCATGTAGCTTCTTAACCGTTGGCGGCGCTGGCGGCGGCACCTGTTGTTGCGCGGCGGTTGCGGCTGGCGGCGGCGCTGCTGCTGCAATAACGTGCGGCGAGATCAGTGGACCAGCGGGTTGGTAATAGCCTGCAAGTGAAGAAGATACAGATTATTAGCAATAGCGGTTAAATGTGAAGGCAATTGAAAGATCATAGCTTGGGCAGAAGGTAGAAAAAGAGAAGGTACGATGACACGTTCACTTCCGCAACATCCAAAAACTCATCTAGAGATGGACACGCAACTAAGTACGGAACATCACGGCAACTCACGCGCATAGACAAAGTCGGGAATGCAACAGCAGATTTGTGCTTTCTCTAACTAAATACAATACCTTCCTAGTTTATAACTTTTTAAAGATTTTAGAGGTTTAGTGAAGAGGACAATCTTCTTCAATGGAGACAGCAGTAGTAGAAGAAGCAACATAAAGATAGGCTGGTAATGGTCAGTGGTTGACGGATTAATCTAACTCAGATAATTTTTAGGATTTATCGAGTTATGAGTAATTTGTTTAATTAGTGTTGGCAGAGATGATTTACAATATACAAGTAGGATGTATAGTATGTGAAGATGAAGACAAAACCACTAACTACTTAGCTTAATGAGTAAGAAATATTTACTACAATTTTCGAATCAGCTAACCAGTTCATCAGCCACTGCATTTAAATTGCTTCTAGAAGTGTTCCCGGAAATTAATTTTCGTTTTCCATTTAGCACCGAAGAGCATTTATATATCCTTAACAATTAACAATTATTGCTCAACTGCTTATTCCTACAAGGATGGTAATTGTTGCTCTTGAATAAATCGTATCTTCTTTCAGAAATCTTTTTTTGTGAGACAATAATACTAGGCTATAAAGCCATCTTCGAGATGGACATTATAGTAAGTTGCTAAAGGGATGTCAATAAGAATTAATTCAGTATCAATAACATCGGTGTGGAAGACTCTTCTTTATAAAGCTTTGAAATGCAGACCTGCATTATAATTTTGTTAGAATATTATATTTTCTTTGCTTTAAACCTTTAAAAAGGAAGTTTTTACAAAGATAAAGAAATATATTTTTAGGAATAATTACACAAATTATTAAATTGGATGGTTAATGAAGTTGCATGATTTTTGTTATGAATACGAATCTATTAAGTAGCAACAATAAATATTAAGAAATATTATCAACTTTGTTTATTGCCCAACCCATTATTTATATTTGGAACAGGCTTGGGCATACGAATTGAATGCTAATACAAGGTTTTAAATATAAGGATCCTGCATACTTTCTAATTCATGTACAGTCTACTACTAGTTATGTAAATGTTTATTTTTGAGCAGAATTCGATAATTACAAGTATTATATAGCATTACCTAAGGAATTAAGTCGGAGAAAATTTCGTTCAAAGGGAACTTAGGAACTGGCTAAGGTATTAGAATTAGCATTGCTACTACTCCTTAGTATTTTGTTGGAGTAGGGAGTTTCCCAAATGTCTACTTTAGACCAGAGTTAGTAAATACTTGCCTTAATTAGAGTGAATTTCGATCAAGTTGAATCGAAGGAGTTATATTGATTTGTGTGCTTGTTTAAAGGGAATTTAGGAGCAAGCATTCAAGAATTTATAACTAGACAACTATTAGATACCTATACGTTGCCTTTATCGGAGAGAATTTCAATCAATGCGAATGAAAGGTAGTTAGGCTTATGATTGGTATGTTTTAGTGTTAAATGGGGACTTAGGGTAGCTTATTGGCGCTTGTGTAATTCTTGTAAGTCACGAGTTATATCGCTACTTAAAAGCATTTTGCCTGCTCACGATCACCACCAAATCAACATCATCACCATTATCAGTTAACACACACACAAACACACACATGCGTCTCTAGACTAAAGTGAAAGTTGGCAAGCGCCTTGCTGGCTGGCTGCCTGCCTGCCTGCCTGCCTGACTGGCTGGTTGGCTGGTTGGCTGACTGGCTGCTGGTTGTTTCAACCTGCCCCAAAACCAGTCGGACAACTGGCAACGAAGCCAGCCGATAAGTGGGACTCAGCTGGTTTTGCAACAATTTCCCGCTTTTGGTGAAAAGTTGCAGCTGACCCCACCCCATCCCTCCCCTCCTTGTATGTAGCATCCCTGGCATTACCTCTTCCAAGCATGTGAGCCGCGTACAAGATGTCGTGAAAATGATGAGCCGCGTGCTGCTGCAGAAATGTGAACGATTCGGCAATGTTGGCGGCCATGACAGCGGCCGCCGCCTCATCCGTGAGGCGTGCCCCCAATGCCGGCGGTGTCAGCACTGACGCCAGTGGTGCCTGTGGCAGCGGCAGCGGCAGTGGCTGTGGCTGTGGTGGCGGCGGCTGTGGTGCTGGCACATATGCGTGTGGCGTAAATGCCGTGGCCAGTGCACTGGCATGGCCCAGACCGTTAGGAGGGCCGTTGCCCGTTGGCGACAGCGCCGAGGCCGTGGAGTGGGTCGAGCGATCCGTTTCGCAGGTACCGCTGCTGCTGGTGCTGCCCACACTGGAGCAGCGTTGTTGTAGCAGCTGTGGGGCGGGCGGTGAGACACGCAGCGTTTTCAACAGCTCCGAGCTAGCGTGTTGATTCTTGCACAGATTTGCGACGACTGAGGACGCGATTGTGGGTGTGGGTGTGGATGTGGGTGCGGATGCCGGCACCTGCGTTCCTTTTTTCGTAGTTTCTTTTAGGCGCATTTTTCGTTGGGTATTCTTATATAATAGTACTTTGTTTTTGGTTTCTGTTTTATTATTTAATTTTTTTTTTTTTTTTGATTTTTTAATCGTTTTGATTTTTTGAAGCAACGTATTCTTTTACGTATTTTCGATTTTGTATTTGTTGTTTATGTATTAAAAATATTTGTATATGTTTGTATATTTGTATATATATATATATTTATGTGTGTGTATATATATTGGGGTTTGTATATATGTATATATATTTGCGTATAGGCATATGTATTTGTATATATGTATGTATGTTTAACAAGGAAGTTTCGTTGTAAGGCAACTCTTTTAACAGTTCTTCTTTTTTTGGTTTCTCAAAATTGTTTCTGCTTATTGCTTTTGATTATTCCACATTTATCCTTTGTTATATTTTGTGCGACGTTCGCCTGTGGAAGTTGACATTAATATTAATGACGTCACAGTTACACAAACACAAACACACAACCACAAATTTTTTTAATTGTGATCATAATTAAGGTGGATTGCAAGAAAATGTCAGTTATTTATGTTTTTATTGCATAATTGTATATTTTTCGCGCGATTTTTGGTGCGTTTTTGTCACGTTTTTTTTGTAGTAGTTTTATTTTATTGTGCGCGCTTTTTAGTTACTTTGGTAATACAAAAGCATTTCTTTCATAAGTTATTAAGCCCAAATTATTGTATTAACGTAAAACATGTCTGGAAGCTCTAAAAAAAACTCTTGCTCTCAAGGAAGAACTGATTTGCAAAAGCTTAAACAGTGATGGGTTGAGAATAAAAGAATTATAGGGCGGTTTTATATGATTAAGTATCTAATCGAAGATCAAGGTAATCACTAGACAAAATAAAGATTTTCCATCCCAGAACCCTTAAACTCTTCACGACTCTGTATAAGCATTGCTGAGAAAGCGTAGAGCAATTCTTTGAGACCAGTGTTGATAGGCATCCAAGATATAGAAGAAGTTATCGAACTCCAATTCTTTCACTCGCTTTAAGAGTTTAAAATTCCATAAATATTGCTCGACTAAATTTAAAAATAAAGAGAGCGCTTAACAATCTTGAATTAATTAAGTTGAATTGATTAAATCTGATACAAATGCTTCTGAAGCCCAAGAGGATTTAAAAAGTATTGCAAGTAATATATTCCACCGAAAGCAACTATTTAAATAAATGCGTATTCTATTTTTGGAATTAGATATGGAGCACTATTCGGAACGTTAGAAGACTGCTGGAATATGTTGCAGAAAACAAAATAATTTTGGTGTTTTCATCAAAGGTCTAGAGAGATATCATTTGTTGCCTTTCGTAGAATTAAGAAAAATGTAACACCCTGAAAATCTTTTGATTCAACAGCGTACATAATAGTTTTTGTATTTTTCAAGAGAATTTTTTCAACCTCCGATAAGACGCTTCTGATCGCAGAATCATGGAATTTTGTCTGCTGTTCGAAAATGAATAATGACGAGTGAGACATTCCCGTAGTTAGCCAAATATATGTATATTTTTTGTATTGTTTATACAATTTATAATACGCTTTATGTACATCTCTTTTATTGAGTATATAAAACAGTTTGTCGTGACTGACTGGCTGGTGATCAAGACTCAGTGGAATTGCAGTTTGAACGCAGGAAATTTGAGCTCCAAAAGGGGAAAATGGGCTCCAGTATTTCTATGAGACATGCGCCCCAAATTATTAGTATTTTCTCATGGACACACAAACGGAAAAAGCTAGTAAGCTTCAATTTAAACACAAGTTTTCTTTCATGGTGTAGGTGAGCGGTTATGGTAATTTCGAACTCTAAAAGATTATATCAGCTCATCCGATGCAGACAGTTAAAAATATATTTATTTTATTATTGTATAGGTATGTACTAGATATCTTTCTGCTCACATTGAACTCATTTCCTGAAAAGCTTGTATAGGAACTACCCGCCAGTAGCAAATTACTTTACAAGTCACCGAACATATGTACAAGTATGCACATATGTATATAATATATTTAAATATGTATAAGCATTTATGTAAATACGCATGTGTACTTATGTATGGTTTTTTTTTTGTGCTGAAATAGTCGAGAAACAACGACGAAAGCAAATAGGCAACCAACCATCTGGTTGCTTTCGTTCTCCCAACACTCTCCCACGCTCCAATGTTGTGCCAGGAACGGACGCAAGCAACACCAACGGTGAACAGCGAGAAGCAGCAAAAGCAGCAGAAGCAGCAACAAAGCAACAACCAAAGCAACAACAACAACAACAACGAAAGGTGGTGTGCATGAGAACTGCAGCATGACAGCCGGGCCGTGTAAATTTGTTGACGCCAGCCTTCTAATATTGAGACGTCTCTTCAACATGCCTAGCGGCACGTAGACGGCCACACACACAC